TGTGAATTAACTAGCAGTATAGAGCTTCAATGTGAAGAAGAAATGTTTTTGCCTACTTATCTCCTTGTGATGAGTGGTCTAGAGTAGAAATTAATAAACCTAACAGAGTATTGTGTAGTATTAAATCTGTTTATTGGCTAACTCTCAGAAATAATTCAGAGCAATATTGAAGTTTATTGTGCCTATGTTTGCATGTTATTGTCTTGTCCCTTTCTCACCTTAATTATACACCACCCAAAATGATTAATGGAAGGCAAAGATAGTTTCTATTGAATCCAATGGAAAAATTACATGTCTGGAGGGAGTGCAGGATTTCTCCAGTGCTTTTCATTATTTTGGGTACCATGGGTTTTATGTGTGTTCAGTTTAAAATGAAAGGGTAAGAGCAAGAGTCTTGTTATGACACATAAAATGGAAATTTTCCAATATGTTGCTTAAAGTCAGTCTCTCTGGCAGCACAGCACTTTCAACAGTGTTGTGATTTATCAGTATAGAATTCTCTTTTCATACCAATGTGATGCCCCTGTCACTTTGGACTAAGTAATCCAATTCTTAAGGCTTTGAATGGAGGTGAACCTTCATAATCATCCCTTCCTTGAAGACAGGAGCAATGTTTCTAATTGTTAGAAATGATTAATAGCTGTCCCAGTAATTGTGCCTTATAAAGACAGTGAGGCACTGATCACTCACAGTAGCAAATGTGCTTGCTGACCTTTGAATTAAAGGAGAAATTGTGGCAGATATTAAAAATTATGGCCTGTTGGTCGTTTTTCTTCCCAAAAGTTATACCTGTCTGTGATTTTATACTTTAGCAGCACGGTTTACATAATATTATCATTCCTTTTTTTCATGAAAACTATTGATTCATTGGTTGTCATGTAATATGAAAGCATTAGCATTTTCAAGCAAATGCTAATTTGGAAAAAAATTGATATATACTCTGAATATAAATTGCAAAAATAAGCTGATAATTCGTTGCTATGATACAGAACCAAGTTCTGGCAAAAAAGAAGTGCAAAATTATGGGCAGAGTTTGGAGTAATTGTTTTAGATAGGCTACAGGTGTCTGGTATTACATAGGTGTAAATATTGTGTGTATTCATTATATGCTTTCATTTAATTCTCTTGGCTTCACCCTCCTATATCCCTACACACCCACAATGTCTGAAGGTGCCTTTTGTGTAGAACAATTGAGCCTTGCAGGAGAGAGGCATTTCTCCTGATAATTCTAGTAATATGCATCATTTTATATGCTGATTTTATCACACATTGTTCAAATTAGTTCATTAAAATTAAACATCACTGAATACTTCCATAGCCACCTGCACTGCCTTAATTCCTGTTTTGCTAAATGACTGAGCCATATGGTTGCTTCAAGCCTTGCCTTGCCCTTGCTGTGTTGAGTGTTTCAAAAATGCTTGATAATATTAAAGGAAAATACTGCTTCTTTCAAAATACATCTTACATCTCTCAAGGTATGATTTTTATTCTGTTAAGTTTCTCAGTAAATTTCCAACTAAAATCATAATTTGTACCTGGCATTAAAAGAAATTAATGGGCCTCATTAGCTGTATAAACTTTAAAATTATTTTCAGCTTTTGAAGGTATTTGTTTGGTTTCTTGTTTTGCTTTTTCTTCAGATGAAGTAGCAGCCTACTTGTTCCTGTGGGTCTGTGAATCCATTTCTTTACATGTTTATGTATATTTTATGTAATAATGAGAACATTGGAGGAGGGAGTGTGAGATGGCAGTTGTATAGAGCCAAAATGACTTCTTGCACTGAGAGCTGATGGATTTCTCTTCCACCTCACCACTATCTGCAATCATACCCTTGGTTATTCACAGCTTTCCCAAAACCAGCAAACCCCAAACCCCACAACCCAAACAGTGATTCCTATGTAATTATGTGAACATGTTTAACTGATTTCTATTGTTAGTGTCTAATTTTTGGATTAATACTCTAAATGGAAATTGCTGTGTCATGGGTAACTTTGCCTTAATAGGGGCAAAACATTCCCTGAGCTGTGTGTTTCCTTGCTTGCACACCACTGTGGTTCAAGGAGGTGGACCTGATGCCCAAGCCCTTGGGATGCAGTCCTGGACACTGCTTGGCTGCCAGCACTGGTGCTATGCTGTCTGCCAGTTACTGCCTTGTGCTGTCCACCAGTGTTCCATCATGTCTTCTCCTTCCAGAAGTCTAGTCTGAGGTGGCCATCAGTAGCCTTGGCATTACATTACAGAAGCTGCTGCCTTGCCCCTCCTTTCCCATTTCCATAATTTTGAACCTAGAAAGACCCAGGAGGCGCATGGGAAAGAACTGTGTCAGACACGCAGGACTCAGGGGTGCAGAGTCTGCCTGGCTCTTCTGGATGGCCTGAATGGAGTTACCTGTGAGTGCCCTGTCCTCTCTGATGCCTGTGGTCCAAGGAATAGCTGCTCTTGCTGCTGTCCTGGGCAGCTTAGGAGTAGGCATTGGAATGAAGTGTCTTCTCTCCACCAGAACTGATGATCTTCAGCTCCATAACCTTGTCTTGACTGTATATTTAAAGTGAGCTAAGGTGCAGATACTAGAGAGTACCAAGAAAGAAGTTCTATAGTATTTAACAAAGTGCAAATTTATTTCTCTAAATATACGAGGAGAAGAATGGAAAGCAGTAGATAGCACTTCGTTCATAAAGCTTACGGAAGAAACATATTGATGAAACTGCAAATGCTTTTTGACAGGTGAAAAGCTGCTTGGAAAACACTGATAGCATCCACTCTTATTGTTTTTGGTAGTGCCATGGATGATGGCATAACAGATGCTCTTTGGCTGAGACTATTCAGGTTACCTGTGAGCCAATTTGAGGATAATCTGGTGTTCAGAAATGACTGATGCACTGGGGCAGTGCTCATCAGGAAGAATTGAAAAATAATAAAAAAGAAATTATTTGGTGAAACTGCTCAGGCTTATTACACTTTTGTGAAAAAGGCAGACAGAATTGGTTTGTACATGATGTTCTGTGTAAATATACATTAAATAATATTTTCAGGCCTTTTTTTCTTAGTGAAGTTAGAAGAATAGGTACTTTCAGTTTGGAGTATGGAAGGAGAATGCATGTTCTGGGAATTCTCAGATGAAAGCAGCAGAAATGACAGAGGGCTACACAGCAGCATTTCCTCTGTGCAAAATCTGAGGAACATTAGGACTGTCTTTTACAGGACAGAAAAAGGAAATAAAAATTTTCAGGAAGCTAAAGGCTGGTGCAAACAATGGGGTAACTAAACTTCATGTTGGCTGGTGATAGGTTAAACAATAATAATCTTAAATTGCAGTGAGATTCAGGTTGATGATTAGATAAACTGTTAATTGAATTCTGGGATTGAGTACTTAATAACTGTCTCTTACCAGAGTCAGAAGTGTTCTGCTATCTACTGTCACAGTCTTTTGTCCTGAAATGTTTCTAGCTGCATAAATCCCAGGAACAGTTGTGTCTTCTGTTTGTGAGAAAAGAACGTACTCAGAGTCTATTGCCTATTTTTATCTATTTCAGTTGGAAAGAATAAAAATTCCTTTTCTTTCCCCTAATTGTTGTGCATTTCCATTCTATTTACAGGGAAATTCTGTTTAGTTTTTGGTCAGTCTCAAGAGGGTTGATAGGTAAAATATAGGAGGTAAAAATATTCGCTTTTTTTCTCAAAAAACCTTTTTTCGTAACTACTCTGTCATGATTAACAGCTGGGCTTATTTTCTTTTTTTGATATTCCCTTCACAGATATATTTTTTTTTTAGAAAAGTTTTATGTTAGAAGACAATACTATAAGATTAATGTCTCTTCATTCTCTGAGATGCTACTTGAATTCTGAGGATCTTATTTGGACATTCAAAACATTTTAAGGCAGTATTATGATTCATGGTTGGTAACAACTTCAGTTTTCTTTTATGGTTTCAGCAAGTTCTAATTTTGAAGGAAAAGTTTGAGTCTGAAATTATATTCTTAGTTCAGGATAAGTCATGCATTCCCTTAGGAAGTACAACTGCAAAGCCTTTATTTAAAAGCTTAATTACAGCTTTAAAAAGAAAAGCAAGTACCTTTTGGATGACTGGATACTCTGATATCTGTACTGTGTCACTGGATAAAACAGAAGTGGGAAATAAATCACAGAAGATTCTTGCATTAAATTACCTCTGGAACATGGGTTCAATGTCCTAATAGCCCAAAGAATTAAGTACAGTGTTTGACTAATGAATATTAGTGTTAAAAGTTCACCTCTTGTCTGAAATGGAGGTGAGATTTTCATCCTTCATATGGTACTTATTTGGGTAGATTTATCAGTTTTTTTGTATTTTTCACAAGTTTAGGTTAATCACATTAGTTGGTGTCAAGAAAATGCTCCAATGCATGAAGTTATAAGCTATATATTATGGGCTTGGATGAAATATGTTTAGTATTTTGTTGGCATTATGAACTTCAGTATTCAAAATAGAGGATGATTAAATAGCATTAACCTGTATAAACTAGTTATTTGGAAGCAAAAAGCTGTTTCACAATTTATGAATTGGAAAGTGTTGTGTCAGGAGGAAAGATGTGAATCTTCATAAACTGAGGTGCATCCTGAGATGAAAACAAAAATCTCCAAAGCAACAAGACTAGCCTAGCCATTCATATCTGTGGAACTTCAAGTTTTCTCTGAAACAGCAGTCCTAGTTTATCTGCAGTCTCTTTCCCCTTGTTCTCCTATTGCTGGACACTGACACAAATTATTTCTTTCAAAACACTATAAAAATGCTAGTATGCTAGCATGAGTGATTTTTATAATTGATAGGGTTGTTTCCATCTATTTCAGGAGTATTTCCCTGTAGAAGAAAGATGGTGTGTACTAGAGTGTAAAACCCGTTGGGCTGCTAATATGACTTGAGAGGCAAGGGTTTTGTAAGGGGAGCTTATTTATCTGTTTGTTTTAAAACAATTAATTTGGATGGAAAATATGATGACCTCTCAGGCATCCTGGGCTCCATCATGGCTGATGGAGATGCAGCAGACATCCAGCTACGTGCAGGTTACAGCCTTTACAGCCTGGGTGTAATGTCGTAATGCTAATCAGTTGAAGTGTTTGGGAGAGAAGAGCAGTTGATGTCTGTGAAGCAGAGGGCTGTTAGCAAGATGTGAAGCACAAGGACAGAGTTGTTACACACCACAAACCTCATGTCTTTGTTTTAATTGCAAGCTCCAGTGTCTAGGAGAGCAAGGAATTCTAATTTCTGAACTTAAGAAAGCTTACAAAATACATTAAAACCATAGGTACTGTGTTTTGCCTTGTGTTTTTTGTCCATTTTTGTAATTTTTATTGTCTGTATGAATTCTTTCTGGTGTACAATGTGTGTTTAGGGTTTTAATCTAGTTTCTGTGGTAATTAATACAGTAGTGTATGAATCCCTGTAGTCTTGGGTAGTGCACTGCTCAGTGCATTTTTTGCCTATGTATGATTCATGGATTTTGGCTGTTCTCTTTAGGTGTTGTTAAATTATTTATTACAATTCTCATAGAGATATGCACTATAGGACTGCTTGCACTTGCGAGACCAACATTACCATCAGTAACTGGAAAATCAAAATAATTTCAGAAGGAACTTTCTGTATATGGTCCTTTTTTAGCCTGCTCCTTTCCATCTATGTCATATTCAGCTCTTTATGGGACATTTAGTGTCATTGTACCATGCTTGTTAATTGCTCAAGATTTTATTTTACAAATATGCATAACCATGTGTTGATGGTCTGGAAGACTTCCTTGGAACTAAATAAATTTCAAGGTTTCCAGCTTTTTTTTCCTTAAGCAAGTACTTGAGTTCACTAGAGAGTGCTGTGGTTGTATTGACAAAGGCTTAACTTATGGTTATACTCAATTGGAGTGTGGGTCACTGCAAAGTGAGGTATGTACTTCAGAAGAGAGGTCAGATGATATTTTGAAGAACAGCAAACAAACCTGTCTTATGAACGCACAGGATGAATATTATTTCCATTATTTAAATATTGTTTTAAATTGTTTTTCAAAACTCCTATCAGTGGTAATCCTTCCCAGCAGTTGGTTCTTAACTCATGTTCTGCATTTAATCAAGGAATATAAAACTCCTTTAGTGTACATCCTACACCTGTAAAAGCAACAAAACCTGGAAATAGAGATTCTTCAGGCCACTGTTGCATAAAGTAATGTTCTGAGAAAAATTGATTTCATAACAGGAAACATTACTATTTGGTGCTGAGAAAAAGTGATTGAAAATTAAGGAATGAATAGTCTTCCTGTTACCAAAAAAGCCCTAAAAAACCTAGTGAAAATATTTTATGAATCTCCCATGCTTTAAATAAATTCTAAGATGACTATAAAAAATATAGGACATTTAATTTCCTCTTCTGAAAGGTCTGTAATAGCAGTTGTAATCTGCTGTCATGCCTGGCCATGAGCCTTTATTTAACTGTTGGTCATACTTGGGAGTAGTATTCTCAGCAGATTGTTGATTCCTCTTTTCTCCTGTCACATGCTTATCCAGGAGAATGGCCAGTTTTGTTTCTGTTTCCAGTTTCAGTGTTTTAAGCTGATAGGAGTAAGTATGTTCCTAATGCACTTTTAATATTGTTACTTTTGGAAGAATGACTGCTGTGTTAAAGACACTCTGAGTATGAATGCACATTCAAAAATTATATTTTTTTCCCATTCAGTTAAAATCTAAATGCCGCTTAGGGTAAAAAAGCCTGGAGTGCAGAGAATTTTTTAGTTGGCAACAAAAAAAAAAAGTCAAAATATACATAAAGATACATTTTAATCTGCCTTTTTCTAAATATTTGAAAGAAGTTGCTTGGAACTATGTTTTTTAGTGAGGAAAATTCCACTTGTCTTCAGTTTCCTCTCTTATCTTGATGTGGCTGTGCTTCTTGTTGGACTTTTCCAGGAGTCAGTTCATTTCCCTCACCTGGGAAGAAATCAAACATTTCTGTCTCCTTGCCTCTCTCAAGAGTGAAGGCACAGGAGATCTAGTTCTTTTATTATGGGATTTGTGTGTTGCTTTGCAAGGGTCTGATTGAGCATAGATGGAGGAGGGCGTGGGGTGGGAGTAAAAGTCCTGTGAATTTCAGTGGCTGTGAGTTTTCAGGTCACCTTGGCTGACATTTGTGAATTCTCTGTGCACTTGTTTTTGTGCACTGCAGCAAACACACAGCAGCATAAAGACTTCAACAAGTGCTCAGCACTGACGTTTTCTACAAGACTGTCTGCCCTAGACTACTCTAAATATGTTAACATTTCACTTTACTTTCTATTCAAATAAATAATATCCACAGAAACAGATAATTTGATTCTGATCTGTTGTGACATCCTCATTAATGTATGTCTATTTTGTCAGCATCTGAAACATCTAAATGATGCCTGTTGAGCAGTGGTGGTGATACAGTGGCATCCTAGAGGTGTAGGTGGATACAGAAGGGCCAACACTGGTCTTTCATCCTGGAGGCCTGTCACAAAAATGGGTGGAACAAAGCTGATAGGGAGGGAGATGTCTGTGCATTACTGCTCACCTTATCCAGTCAAGTAATATCAGAGCAGCTAACAGGAATGGTGGAAGCAAAATGGATTTAAACTCTTCTCTGCACCGCTTTTCATGCAGTGAAGTTGTTGCAAGTGTTTTTAGGTGTTGTGTTCATGGGACTGAAATTTTCCCAGGAGGTGCAGGAGTGCCTTAGAACAGCTGGGAACAACTTCAGACTAAAACATCTGACGGGCTTTAGGCTGGGCAGGCACAAATGGTACTCAGTTATTTGATATCCCAACTGGATAGCTTCATCCCGAGTTGATGTTAATCTAGAGCTGGGATTTTTTTGGAAGCTTTTCTTAGAAAAGACATTTTCTTCCAGACAGGAAGCTGGCCAGTGTTTGCTGCTCTTTGGGCAGCCAGATCAGCCCCTGAGTGACTGAGAAGCATCCTGGAGTCACTAAGCCACCATCCGTGCGGTATTTATGGGTTTGCAGCACAAATTCAGACAGTTCAGAGCTGTTGTTACTTTTATCTTAGCCATCCATTCATGGGCACTGATGTTAAAAAATTCATGTCAGAGTACCCCACTTAATCCCTAAAGGAATATGAAACTATTCCATGTGCTTCTTGCTTACTGAAATGCAGCTTACTGTTCAGTAACAGTGTTCTTTCATAAGCCAGCCTGACGCACCGTATCAAAAGTAATTTTCTGAATGTTTTGCTGGAAGATGCAATTCAAAGGAGCACAATGCAAGATAAATGTTCTCTTGTACAGACACTACAAGCTTGCAACGAAAATTTGAGTTGCTGAGATTTTTCTGTCTCAGGTTTTGGAGTTCCTAAAGTTCTATGTATTAGCTGAAGTTCCATCATGTGAAAAAAGAGGGACAAAACTACCATACCTCAGAAACTGGTATGTCATTGTGGTCCATTTTCTCTGCATCAGAACAAACAAGTCCACAGGATTTTGGTGTTATGTATGAGAAAACTACAAATGCCAGCACTTCCAGAGTGAAATATTTTTCATGTTTATTCATTTTGAAAATGTTACTATGGAGAACAAAACTTTTGTAGCTACAACCAGCCCAAGGAACAGTTTTTGGTCAAAAGTTCATCATGAACTTTGTTGCAAATACTGCATGCCTTTGAAACATGAGGTTTTTCATATCTTGTTTTTTTTTTTCAATTGCGAACATTTTCTTGTTCTCATGGAATTGAAGGAGTCATAAGGGATATTAGTATCAAGACAGTAGTATGATAGTTGTAAATACTGGTAAAGTGTTGTGCTGCCCATGATAATAATTCTTTGGCTGATTTGATGCTGTTTTTATTTGCTTTGCCTGGATCAGTGCTGTCAGGCTGTGTCCCTGATGCTTGACCTCTGTGGGTGTGGTTAATGGGGGAATCCCAGTTGCATGACCTCGCTGTAGAGCAGAGCTTTTGGCATCAGCAGGTACAGCCTGGAGGGCAGGACACCTTTCCTCCTCCTGTGAAATTGCAATGTCAGTGTGAAATTGATGAATTGATGAGCTCTTGCAGTCCATGAGGCTTAGTTTCTGTTCAAACTGAGTGCTCTGCTTTTATTTATACAGTGTAGCTTAACAACTTGCTTTGGTTTGCTTCTTTTAATAATTCTCATTTTCTATTGGAAGTAGGAAACATCCAAAAGATTTGCATTTTCCAGAAAAATTTCCCCTGTCTGTAATGTGTATTTTTATTGTTATTTTTAATCTCTGTAGTAAATTCAGAGTATTATCTTGACTTGCATTTGAGTTGTGGTGCCTTGGAACTGAGCTAGGCAATGAAGTTGAAATTCATGATCCTGATTCACCCCCGCTTTCACTTTGACAATCTGTAAAGAACTTGAAACAAACCTTCAACAGTTTGAGTCTTGTATAGGGAATGATATTGTAAACAAGTGAAGTAAGCAGAAAGATACCTCTGAATTGTAGGCATCTGAAGAAATTTTGGGGAAATCTTGTGTTGTTTACACCAATAACATGATTTTTGAATTTTTTAGAATGGAAGAAGGTAAAGCCAGGATATAACTATATTGAATATTTTAAGTGTGTATCAAATAATGTATCTAAGTAATATTATAGTGTTACAAAGTAACATTTTTCTCTAGACATACTCCTTAAGGGGTATCCTTAACTGATGGTGCAGGGCACTAAAATTAAAAACCCCTAACAATGTCTCTAGTTTTTCTTCATAATTTCTTTAGAGTTTTTTTTTTCTATTTTTTTTTTCTGCCCTATGGTTGCAGACCGTTACTATATGTTGGGTAATGGGGGGCAGAAGGTTATCAGGGTTTGAGGTTTTATTAAAACCAAGCACATGGGGGTTTACCTGGAGTGTATTTAGTGGATTCATAGGCTTTGGTTTTTTTCTTTTGAAAATAATATCCTTCCTGCAAGCAGAAAAATTTAAGAGCTTTTGACTTTTTATAATTAGCCTTTATTTTTTGCCTTCTTGCACATTACAGAACACAAGTAAAGGGCTGTCTCTAACTGTTGCAGGGAAGGCATTCTCTGAAGAACAAAACAGACATGAATACTACTGTGTGTGAAATATAATTTTCTGTGAATTAATATAGAGGTTTCTGAACTTTTCTTTGCAGTCTGCTTCCAGTTGCAAGCCTATTTCTCTATTTCAGTGCCTCTTCTTTGCCTGCAGTCTCTCACAAATGTTGCCCAAAATGTAATTGGGGGCTATGTTTCACAGTCATTATTAAAAGATAAAAAGGTCACATAGTCTCTAGCTTTAGGATAAGGCACATGAGTGCCTGGACCCTCCACTTTGTGTAATTGACATTGCCATTCACAGGCAGAGAAATTGCCACAGTATGTCCCCAAAATGGAGATGGTTTGGTAGTTAGTTCTTAGGAGGAAAGAGGTTTTGTGGGAGCTGAAGACCAGCCTGCTGAAAATTACAAGTTTCACACTTCAAATACAAACCTGTTATTCAGGAAGCAAGGAAGTGAGAGAAAATAATTTGATCAGGAAACTGCTTTGTCACATTTGTACCTTACAGTGGGCACATTTTATTATATATAAGGACTTCTTTTTGATCTTAGTATGATTTCTTAGCTTTGATTAAGTAGAAGAGCTTGGTTTTTAGTAGGGGATAAAACCTAAGACTTTTCACAATTAATTAGTTGAAGAATTCATTTATTCTGGAATGATCTGTCCTTGCCACTGAACTAGGACATTAAGTTTAATGCTTATCAAAATAAATAAAAGGCAGTGAAAACGATGAGGTATATACAGCTCTGTTCAATAACATGGCTCAGGGAAAGTCTGGCAGCTCTTGCTCCACAGCTGTGTCGACATCTTTTAGCAAGTTCATGACTTAAATGCCAAGTAGGCATCAAAATCTTCCTGAAAGACTGATCCTAAAACTCAACTGTTTGCATGAACTTGGTCAAAGCTTAGGAGGCAGTGCCATTTAGCTGTTTCATAGTCTGATGTTTCTGTTTTGTGTAGGAGAGAATTGGATTGACCTTTTACATCAGGATTAACATTAGAGGCTATTAACTGGCAAATAGATAGTAGGCACTTCAGAGAAGAAAAGCTAAATGAGAGGATGGAGTTTGATTTGGAGAAATCTAAACTGCATTTAAGTAGAAAAAAGTTAACACTTAAGCTTCTTGGGGGAAAGAGAACATATTTATGAATTTTAAAGATTGCAAATTCACAAGAATGGAGAAGATTCTTCCGGGAATTACTGAAACAAGGATGAAACATCATCACTGTCAAATTGCAAGAAAAATTTTTGAGAAAAATGTTACTGATGAGTTGTGTGCATTTTGTAACTACAGTAACTGCCAGAGTAACTGAAGACAACATGCTGGAGCATAGTAAAAAATAGGGAGTCAAAGGAATATTTAAGAGCAATATTTTTGTCCAGGCAAAAATGATGACTTGAGATACTTTTCTTCTTTCATTTATTTGCAGCATCATACAAATATGGAATTTGCCCTTTCTGTCTTTTAAGAAGACAAAAATGATGTTCTGCTCTTTCATGTTAGGTTTTTCTTTCTCCATTGCTCCAAATATGTTGCCTTGGTTTTGTGTTTTTTCTTTTTTTTTTATTAATTTAATGTAATTTTTTCTTTTTCACTATTTTGGGATTTAATGGAGTACCTCACTTGCAATTGACTTCCTTCTTGTAAAGTCTTAGTGGAAACAACACAGGTTGGTGTGTTTTTCCTTCCTTGTTTTCCAGGGAAGTGGGTGTATACAGTGTTTTATGTCTGCTTGTGCCTGACCTTGTTAGGCTAGTAACAATAGGGAAAAAAAATCATGGAGCCTGGCTCTACTGAGATTTAATAAAGCACTTAGTACTTGTGTTAGCTAGCTGCTCTTTACCTTTCTGGGCACTGTATTGTGTTGACCTTGGCCAGCCCATCACCCTGCACTTTTTTGGTCGTTTCCTTAACAGTACAAGGGGAAAAATAGTGTGGGCAAGATCATTGGTTGAGACAAAGACAAGGAGATCACTTATTTTTTAAATCACCAGTTACGGTCAAAAACAGAACAGGTTCATCCTGGGGACAAATTAACCAAATTTCCACCCCAGCACAGGGGGATGGGAACTGGGGGCTGCAGTCAGTCCATTACACTTGGTGTCTGCTGCTCCTTCCTCCTCACCCTGTCCCTGCTCCAGGCTGGAGCACCACTGAGAATAGTTAGCTGTAACACTTGCTCTAACCTCTCACTGAAAATCTCAAACAGTTAGGTAATCTTGGGAATTAATGAGATTGTGAGCAGTTCCCTTGTTTATACTTTGCATTTCTGCCAAGTCCAATAATATCTTAAGATATTATGAAGATTTTGCAATAATATAATTATTAATAACTAATATTAAGGTATTGCAAGCATATATAAATGGGGGAAAACTCCTAATTCTTTCAATTATATTGAATTTCTTTACAAGTAAAGAATTACTTTCTTATGAAAGGTGAAAGAAAATATTTTGTATGTTTTCCAAAGATATAATTTTGCTGTTTAGTTTACTCTGGCATTGGCTTCTGATTTTCTTGCAGTAGGTAGATGTCTGAGGGGGGAGCAGGGTTCTGTACATTTGTGGAATGCTGCTGCTAAAGTTTAAAAAAAGGAGGAGAAGTGAAGTAGTTTCCAAGAAGCTGAACAGATGTTTTGGCTTTGTGATAAATGGTCTATGAATGCTGTCTGGAGCAGTTCATGAAGTGTTGTGGGACTAACATGTAGATAGATGTATCCAAAGTCACTGCTAAGTATTTTTAAATGATGAAAAATGAGGTTGAGAAAGTGTAGTACTATAAAATATGTTGATATGTTAAAAATGTATATTGAAACTTCCAAAGGCTATAGTAGATTCCCTTACTATAGAAACAAGATCTTTAAATACTTCTAGTTTATTTGTTGCAATTTGAGTTGGGTTTTCTTTTCCTTCAAGTGGTTTTATCTTGAGAGAAGTTGAGAGAAACATTTTTAAAAATCTGTGAAAGATGATGGTTATATTCTAGTTCTTCCTTTTCCCCCTTCTCCCCCAAAATTTACTTTCAGAAAATGTTGGAGGGTTTATCTTCTTCAATATCCTAGCTTTAGAAATATTAGAAATGATTTTTTAGTTTTTGGAAAGACTGAGTTGGTTTTCATGTGTTGCTTAAAAATAGTTGGAAGAAACAAGTAACAAAGGCAAAGAGGCAATTTAGATGGCCATGGACAATTAGTGCTAATTGTGGGAAGCAGTCTGTAATTTTTTGCTGAACCTGTTCAGTTTTCCAACTCTTATATGGAAGGGAAAACCCCAAATTGCTTAGGCACAGCCTCCTCCTGTCACATGCATAGTATTCAGTAACAAAATTGTTGAAAATCTTATTCTCTAGTCTGACAATCAGGTGCTTATAAGAACATAAGTATTACTAAAATAGAGATTACAAACAAATATACTATTTATTTTGTTAAATAATATAATAATAAATAAATAATCATTTATTGTTATTAACTTTATTCTAGAGTCAAGTGGCATAAAAATTGCACACCAGTGGATGTGGTTTATGAACAGTTTCTCAGGCAGTCATCAACTGATGCTAGAAAATAATCTTTAAAGTACCAGCAAACCTAAATAGCATAATAAGATTCCTTTCTGATTTTATAAATGGCTATTAATGATGAAGAAATAACCAGGAATTGCTACTTTACCAAATTCTTCAATAGAAAAATAAATAATGGATTCTGCATAGAATTCTAAATTTGAACTGGTAGCTTGTATTACATTATAGTAGTTTTCTTTAAACCCTCTTTTAAAGATGACTACTAAAAATATAGATTTCAATGCACTGTGCTTTAATAAGAACAGCTTTCATTCTATAGTATTTCTTTCTCTCTTTTTTTTCTGAAATTTTGTAGCAGAGACTTGCTTTACAGGCCAGTAAATTAGCATCTAACACAGATGATTTAATCCATGTACATAAATTTTCATCTCTTCCTGAGCAACAGCTTGTGAACAATTTTCAGAATGCCTAATGCAACTGTTTAGGACATAAGAGAACACGATAGTTCCTTGTTGTCTAAAAATCAAAGAATAAAATTTGACATACAAAATCATGATAATTTATATAAATATACTTCACCAGTATTTTCACCAGTATTCATGTCCATACTCCCAGGACTTCTGTGAGACTACTCATTTGGGCAAATGCTCATAAATCCATTATTTTTTTAAAGTTTAGGTTAAGTTTTTTCTTTATTTTTGATAGATTTAACCTGAACTTTGCCTACAAGAAAAGGCTCTTTATTGTGATGCCCTTTAGGACTGAAAGTGAAAGGAAAATCTGTCAACAGGAAGATTCTGGAATCATTAAGCAGATGGGTAGGTAAGTTTAGGGTAGGAAACTTTGCTGTGGCAATGATTCAGTTTGTATGTTGACTTGGATTTTCTCGCTTGGTTGAGAAGTTCAGCCTGGCATACCCTGTCCAGCAAGCTTTCTTCTGTGGGGATCACTCACTGGGTAGTACCTGGCCTGGAACTGTCACTCTTGAAGAAATGGATCAGCTCTGGGCTAGGTTAGAGGCAGCCTGTCTTTACCATCCATTCTGCAGGACAGCAGGACAGACTGATTCATTATTACTGCCTGTACAACATGTTAAACATATGATTTCCACTTTCTGCCATTGTAGCTAGACAGGCACAGCCTGTTTTGTCTTGTGTATATTTGTCATACACATTTACAAGATTGACAGTCTTCTAGCTGTAGAAACTTCTGTTATCCCCTTAAATCCATTGGCAAATGGAGCAGCAAACAAAACTTTTCCAGAGAAATTTGTCTTGGTGTCCTAAGTCAGCTATTTCCATTGCTAATATATCTCAAATTCAAGTCTGCCTCTTTTTTTGAGTAGAAAAGGGTGTTATAAAGCTGCCTCGAGGAATGTGGACCTTATTTTTTATTTTGTTTTCAGAAAATCTGTTGAGCAAGTTGAGAGAATTTTGGCCTCAGTGACCTCAGAATAATGATGATCCTTTACTACTTTTATTTTTTCCCCCCATCTGTGATCATGTTTCCAATTATCTGATCCTAAAACAAGAAAAAGAAAAGTTTGTAGGTGGAGACATCTAGAAAGGTCCTTAGGGATGTGATATCTTCTGTAGGTACTATTTCAGTCATGTGTCTAGCCATTTTATAGCTTGTTAGATTTCATGCCACTTGAAGTTTGAGGTTTCTGAGATAAGAAAGCCTATACATTTTATGCTTTTTATGGTGAACAATCAGTTTCTTAATATTTATCATTTTCCTTAATACCACTTTTCCCCCCCTCCCCTTTTCACTCCTTCCTTTCTTAGGATCGTATATGGTAGTGATTTCATCAGACCATGACCCGGGAGAAAAGACTCGACTTCAGCTTCCAACAATGAAAGAAAATGATACTCACTGCATCGATTTCAGCTACCTTCTGTACAGCAAGAATGGAGGAAACCCAGGCACTTTGAACATCCTGGTTAGGGTGAACAAAGGACCACTGGCTAATCCCATCTGGAATGTCACTGGTTCCACTGGCAAAGACTGGCTTCGAGCAGAGTTGGCTGTCAGCACTTTCTGGCCCAATGAGTATCAGGTAAGCTTGCAATAAATTCACACCTCTTTGTAATATTTACTGCAAGATCCTATCCACTTTGTGTTGTTTTGATCTGTTCTGATGGAGTATGCTCCCAGTGTCCTCAAGTGAAGTGTTCCATTCAGTATAAATAATTGTATGGGAATGGATATTTTTTTTATATCAGGTGATTGTCCAAAGTTATGTTATTGTGTAATAGGAGAAAAAAAAATTTACCTGGAAAAAAGCCTTGTTAAAAGAAATGGTGAGGTTAAAGTCCAGGAACATCAAAAATTATAAACTCCCAGAAATAAATTGCCTGAGCAATTGTAATTTGTACTTGTCTTCCCTCCTCTTTTGTGTATGCCTGTGCTACCGTGTCTAAATACATGACCGTAACTGTGTTTTTTTTCCACATGACATTTGCTTCATTTGCTGTGCAGGCAGAATGGTGCTCAACTAATGAGCAGCTGTTCAGGATGTGGTTTTTTTTTTTCCTCTTTGCTTGCTATGGGACAAAACCACCTGCAGTGTAGGCCTGTTGTTTGGAGGGAAAAATTGTTTCGTTATTACTGGATGCTGTTATTTCATTTGTTTGATTAACCTGAGAAAGTCCCTGCAGCTGTTTTACTCAGTGGGTATTTGGTGTGAGGGATGAATCTCATACATGGGCATTTTTGTTCTGGCGTCTAGGAGTGGGAAGAGTTGGATTACATGTGCTCACCTGAATTGTTACACCATAAGCTTACAGGCCCCTATCTAAATATTTGTCATTAGTGCTCTTGCAAACAGATTGGATATCCAGAGTAATTATTAAATGAAAGAAAGTGGATGCTTTGTTAATGGTTTTGTTGAATAGTAATATTGTAGGAATGTATCTTAAATGTGCCTTTATCTAAAGTTTGTTGCAATTCCCCACCATGAAAATAACATCCATAAACAAGCTTCAGTGCAAGCAGCCTTAAACATATGGTGAAAATGATGTAATTTGCTGTCTTTTTTTTTTGGGTGTTTTTGGGCTTTGTTTCCCTGGTTCTAATGTTTTCATTTATAAAGAAATTTCATCTACCAGTGGCATTGAAACTGGGTAAAATTTGATTTAAAGTTCTGAAGCCTGGTGCCAAAAAGCTCAGCTTTTGAGGAGGTGTTTTATTAACCCTTTTTATGTTGCTAGAAAGTACCATTTGGTGTCCTTAAACAAACCTCGGGAGCCTTCTATAACAGAACAGTAGTGATCAAGTATAGCAGCATAATATGCAGTAAATCAGGTTTCTGCTGACAGATGGCCAGGCTTGACAATGAGATTGGTGGTTGGAGCCTTATCTTAGCAACGTGGCCATTTTTCACTTATGTTATAACCTTCACATTATCTCTCCACAGACTCTGCTTAAATTCATTCTTTCTCTTGCTTGGTCATCCAACAGAATATTGAAATCATGTGTAACCCAGTTTATGTTTAAATTAAACATAAGCCTGGAGTAGAACAGGAGGACTGCTAATGCAACCTGCTGTGATTTGTGGCCAACTTGCACAATTGCTTTTATGAACAGGAGGGGAAATCTGTGTCCTATCTACGCATATGCACAAATGCCTGTTTGCACCAACAGGGTTGGAATTTTTGTTGTTTTGGTTCTTTTGGCTCTCAAAGTTCTGGTTCAACATTGCTCTTGATAGGTTTTTGGTGGTTTGTTTTTTTTTTTTTTTTTTTAGTTTTGGTTTTTTCCCCATAGTTTTCAGTTGTTATACTTTGGAATGGAAATTTTTTTTTTTCATTTTTCTCATATTAGTTCCACGCTGTACACTTGCAGCTTGTGATATTGGCGCTTTTATCTACCTGTTGGTCAATGAGTTTAGCTAGCACTGAGGAAAATGAGCACTGGTTTCTATAACAAGAATTGGAATTGGATCCTTGCCTGTACAAGCAAGGTCACGGCTAAAGATCAGAGCTGAGCACAATTGTTTGCATGTACTTTGTTACAATCAGGTAAACTTCGCTGCTGTTTCCTTCACTTTTAAGTGAGGGAGGAGAGTAGAGATTATCAGGGGCTGAATAGCACAGGTTGCACTCTAAGGAAGTCTTGTGCAGTGACTTGGAGGTTAGCAGCATGGCCAAGTAGGTTGTAACAACAAGAGTGTTGCACTCAGGCTACTTAGCTTCTGAGCAGCATTTCTGTGCTCTGCTATGCTCTGTTGAAACATTACTGCTTCCTGTTCAAAACTAGCACAATGTTTATGCATGTCACTGTAGTTTATTGAGTTTATGCATTTTTTGGATGAATTTAACAATTCCTTTTACTCACAGGAATATATTATTTAAATAATCCATTTCCTTTACTTTCTTTACCTGCATTCTATTGGGTATTATTTTCTGACAAAACATAGCACAGTTTATTATAGTAGCTTTACTGGATAAAAGTTTTTATCTAGTTTTTTACCCTGTCTCTGCTGGCAGATAGCCGTGGAATCTTTTAGAAGAGCTCAGGAACATGACAAACTCAACATGGTTGCACCTTTCCCAGGATACACTTCCAGCCTTGAGCATATATGTGGCTCAAGAACTTTGAGCTTTAGAACCTAGGTGATGCCTTTCTGTCTTCCTGATAGCATTGATTTTTTGCAATGATTTAAGCTTCTAGTGTCTACAGTGTACATGACAAGGAATTCTGATGCAAATTCCATGTTAGGACTATTCCTGGGGGTTTCTGCAAGCCTGGGGCTGGTAATTCTTCATTTGTCATATTTTGCACTGAGGGAGTTTCAGAAGTCCTGTAATGATGCAATCTGTCTCTTGTCTCCTGCTAGCAAGGCATCTGCAACCACTGTTCTGCTCGTTTAACATGTGGATGAACTCTCAAAGAAAAGGGTTTGATTAGACAATCCCTTGGGATCAAAGTTGATTTGATTTTGGTACTTGTTAGTTCTGTAATCTTTTTCTTATTGCTCTGTTGGAAATATGCTACCTTTGACCTGCCTCAGGTTTGCTTCAAAAGAAAACTATTTTGGGATTTCTGTTTAAACTTTTTAAGTGACTAGGAGTTTTGTCTCATTGTTTTCTTTGTTGGTTATTACTGTAATTAATTTATTTTAGTTGAGGTGTTTATTCCTGTCTGGATGAATTGTTTTGTCTAATGCTTCTGTTCATTTCCCCAAGTTGTCTCCTGCTTTGCACAGTAGTGGTTATCTGACTGCTGAGGATGGTCTCTTCCTTTCTGCCTCTTTCACAGTCATTTTTCCACTTCCCTTGCTACCTATGTCATTGCTTTTCAGTTTGATTTTGTTTGTTTGTGGTATGCTTGATTTTTAAATTTTTTTTTAACACTGTCTCCCAAAAATCCATTTGCTATTTTTGTATGGTCTTCCCCTCACCCTCAGCAGATTTGTTTTGCTTGCACAGGATCACATTTGTGGTTGCTCACATCTGAGGTCCACATTGAAATGTGAACCATGGGCTTTTCAGTTTTGGTTCTATTATTACATAGCTGACTTTTATATCAGAAACTGGTAAATAAACTCTTGACTCGGAACCATAAATTTCTAACTCGTAAAATGCCAATTACTTGATTTCTTTAAAAATTCACTATATGGTAGTGGTGCTCTAGTTTAGCCAATGTGCTGGCTGGGATACTATCTTCATAGCACTGATGTAGAACCTGGAAGTATAGCTACCAAAGTAAAAATACTGAACTGCACTGAGCAGGTTTTAATCAGTTCAGAAATACTGCAGGAAAATGCTGGAAAGCCAAATAATTTTCTTGCAGAATTGTGAATCCTGATTTGGATAATTAATTTGTTCTTTATTACAATACTGATGATTTATTGGATTAGCAAAAGTTTAAATTGCTCAAAGATCTTGGAAAATTACTTTCCTTTATGATCTTGTAAGGTCTTGGAACTGTAATAGAAGCATAACAGGAGGATGGTAGACAGAGTAATGGTGTGTACAGTTGGGCCATATGCCACATAAGGTAGGAAACAGATTTCTTGTGAAATATGAGCATTTTTTGCCTTTTTGGATATCGGATCACTGTTCTGAACTCGTAGACATGTGAGACTCTAAACAAGCTACATGCAGAAAAATTTAGGAAGACATGGGCTTAGATGTCATTTAGTCATTTGGTATAGCTAAGGAAGGAAACCACAAGTGAAATGGGAAGTACCTGTGTAGAACTGAGTTATAGGACAACTTTAGAAGAAATTCACCCTCCCAAATGCCAGCTTCCTTTTAGGGCAAAGATCCTTTTTTTATATATGTGCTTTACCCTCAAAATACATAAAAAAAATACAAAAATTCACTTAAAAAAACCCCAGCAACGTTCCACAGGACTGATATTTTCATAGGCTTTTATTTAAAATATTTTGGAATACAGAAAATTACTGATAGTAATACAAAAGATACACACTTTATAACTAAAACTTGGAACTCATGTAATAGTCAGGAGAACACTTAGGGGTTTAGAAAGTGTTTCTGATGAGAAAGAACTAGTTGAATGTAAATTGAATGACTAGTTGAATGTAAAAATGTAATATGGAAAGTGCTTTTCCTGAAAATTTTGAGCAACACTGATAAGCAGCCAACCAGTTAATGTTACAACTCTCTGTATAAGCCTTGGATGCTCAGTGGCAAGACAGTGAAAATTGTCTGATGGAAATCTCACCATGAGGAGTCGTTCAGGGGCAGAGGAGAGCGATCCCAGGCCTGATAACTTTAGCCTACTTCAGCATTGCCTCTCATACAGTTGTTATCAGGCCTGGGAAACTACCCAATTTAGAGGAATATGGTAGAATTATGCAAAATTCTCACCAATATGAAGGGGAATCCACTTCCAGTTCAAGAATTAGGGGCCTTTTTGATCTGGTGGTTAAACCAGACTGAAAAAAGTGAATGGAGGTTGGTTAGACTGCAGGCTGCAGACCCATGAATGTGCCTGACAGAAATAGCTGTTGTGGATGCCCAGCCTTCTCCACCCCCTAAGTCGATGTGAGCTTTTTTTCTGGATTCCTAAACGTAATTTAATTTTTAT